CTTTGGCATTGGATCAAGAGGAGACTCTTCCATATTAATCCGAGCCTAATGCACAAAAGAGAATGTGCATAGCCTTAGCATTGAGCTGGAACTTCTTCTTCTCTCCATCACCCCAATCGTCCATCTCACCATTTGGAATGATGTATCATTTCATGATAGAGTTCCAAGCTCCTATATCTTGCTTGAATGAATAAAATCATCATATTCTTCTAATAGGCATAATTTTCTCCATTGAAGTATGGTGACTTGTTGACCGGTTGAGAATCTTCAATGTAATAAACACCGGAGGTTGAAGCCATCTCTTTGTCGGTTGCGTCAGGAATCGGTAGAGCTTCTTCTAGGATCGTCTCAAAGATGTGAAGCCTTCTAACGAGTCAAGCTCTGATACCAATTGTTAGGATTTACGGAAGCTCGAATCAATCAACCGAAAAAGTTACAAGGTGGTGAAATGACAATAAATTGTTTATGGAGTAAGGAGAGTAAAAGATAGAAACTTTTTCACAACGATTTATAGTGGTTCTGTAACATCCCGAAATTCGGGTCAGTTATTAAAATTAGAATTTTTGAAATTTGGGGATCAATGTAGACAAATTTTAAAGTTCAAGGACTTAAATAGAAATATTTCAGTATTTGATTAAATTATAATTATGGAAAGAGTGAAAGGGTATTATAGTATTTTTCTTTTAAAATATATTTTTCCCCTTAAATAAGAGTGAAACACGTGGAGGGAGTTATCTGGAAACTCTCTTATTTTTCTTGCTTTCCTCTTCTTCACGTTGGCTCCAGCTTTAAAAGGCGAGTTTCATTTTGTTGTTTAATTTTTGGAATTCAAGGTGGGTTTTGGTTCTTTGGGTGTTATATAAGCTTAAGGAAAGCTTATATAGGATTTAAACAATAAGATGAGTGAATTAAGAAGGGATTTGTAAAATGAGTTTTAAGATGAATTATTGAGATGGTGTGATTTTTAGAGTTTTGATGAGATTTTTGACTTGTCATAAGGAGGATTAAGAAGTATAAAGTATTAGAATTGAATTTAGAACACATGGAAAGTTTGATGAAATTCTTTGATTCAAGAGTTATAGTGAGATATTGAAGATAATGAAGTGTTATAGTGTTTAAAGAGGGTTTACATGTGTAGGGATAAGTTTAAGGGTATGAGGAGAGGTTAATAAGTAGAATTTGGGGGCAAAGTGTTAAATTTTCGGGATTAAAAGCGAAAATTTAGGCAAGGGGTATCTGTATATGTTGAGTGGGTACCGATACTACAAGGCCATTTATGAGGAATTGTTGCATGGGGTAGCGATACCTGTATGAACAGTATCGACACCGTATGGAAGAGGTATCGATACCTATGTGGAGGGTATCGATACCCGGGGAACATCGAAGCTAATTTTGGTATCGATACCTAGGAAGGGTATTGGTACCCTAGAGTAGAGGTATCGGTACTGTGCTTGTAGTACCGATACCCCTTGAGTTGGAAAGTTGAATTGAAGTTTTATTTAGTTGTATTGATATGAATCGTATCAAGTAATTTAAATCTCGACATTCATTAATTTCGTATTCGTATAAATATCGATCGAAAATAAAGTTCGGATAGGCTGTCAGATTAAGGTTCGCAAGAAAGAACAAGAGATTGGTAGTGTCCATTGAGACCTAGGTGAGTATATGATTTTAAGATTTGGTTACGTAAGGGAATTAAGACTTTAATAAGTCTAATTCCGATTTTAGGCTATATGGACACTAAAAAGTAAGCATGTAGTGTTATGATGTTAGATGTATAGGAATAAAGGCATGTGTCTAGATGTTAAGTGCATATGTACATGTGGTCTATATGAATGTATGCATGTGTGATAAATGATGTGACTCTATTAGAATGATATATGATATGTATGTTAAATGATATAATTGTATTATGTGATTGTATAAGAAATGATATGAATTATATGAGGACATATATATGTGAATATATGTTTATGAGATAAGAACCATGACCATGAGATATGTGAAAAAGAATACACGTAAATGTGAGAAGCTATGTGATACGTGAATGTGAAGCATATGGAAATGTGCCTATGTGAATATGTGAAATGATATAACAGAAAATGCTCATGTTATGTGTTATGAGAGTTATAGGTATAGTTGGCATGCCAAGAGTCGAGGGTTCTATGTGGTCCTTCGGGACATATGTGTTCTATGTGGTCCTTCGGGACAAATTCTATGTGCCCCTAGTGGGAATTATATGAGCTATGGTGACAGCATATGTGCACAACCTCTATGTACTCACATACCTTAAGTTCTCAAAAGTATACATGGGCTTTAAAGATAACAAATAACTTGCTATTATAATACGTGTGTTCCTTGTGAAATGGTATTTGTGTTATATGACGTGTATAAATGATAAATGATAGAAAGGAATTAATTATAATAAAATAAGTAATGATAAGCATGTTAATGATGGTTTAAGTATGTATATAAGTATGATGTTGTATTACATGATATGTACATACATTTGTTAGTTTATATATGTATTTATATGTCTCACTAAGTCTATGACTTAGTATGTAAGTGTCTTACACGTAGGTGTTGATAAGCAAGAGGATCAAGCTTAGGACCAGCAGAGCAACATATCTCCACTCGAAGATCAGATCAGAAATATTTTGAAAAATATGTCTTCTTATGTAATTTAGTATGTTGGCATGTAAACAAAGTCATTAAGTATGTACGCTCTGATGAAGTTTGGAATGTTTTGAACATGTTTATGTAAAAGAATAACTTTATAGAATATAAGTTTTAAAATTTTCTATGGTTTTTATAAAAGTACATGTTTTGAATAGTCAATGTGACACCTCAGATTCGTATCCAGGTCGGATACGAGTTGGGGGTGTTACAGGTTCGACTTATCAACCAAGTCTACTTCCACTACCTAAGCTCCTCACTTAGGATTTTTCAACAAATTCACTAATTTGTTATTTCTTTTTCAAAGATCAAGAGATAACATTTACACTCTATATCTTTTCACTTGGCTAAGATAGAATAAATCCCCTTTTACAAAAGGTAAAAATAAGTAAATAATAAACCTCTCAAAGGTAGGGTGTTTACAAATTTAGCTCACTAAAAATACAAATATTTACGAGAGAGATAAAATAAGATTGGAAAACTCTTCTCTTGTGTTTGATTGCTTGGATAGGTGTTCAAACCTTTCTTCAAGTGTCCTCAACTTGTATTTATATGTTGGAATGAAGTTGTGGTCATTTATAGCCGTTGGGGATAATTTAGAGCCGTTTAGGGATGTTTTATCTGTAAAATAAAACTGCCCAGTACAGAGGATATCGATACTCCTAAAGGAGTATCGGTACTACCTTTGTTATTTTTAAATCGACTAGTCGTTGGGGCCTAATGGTATCGATACCCCTTTGGGTATCAATACCATTTTTGTATTCTGGAATTTGAGCAATGCTAGTAGTATCGATACTACCGAGTGAGTATCGATACTTTTCTTACCTTTGGTATCGGTACCATATGAACAATATCGGTACTGTTTATGAGGTATCGATACTGTAAGAACAATATCGATACTTCTTGTTCAGAAAAACATTTTGTGCTAAATTCCAAGTTAAATAGACTTTGAATTATTTTTGAAAACTTTGAATAAATTCAATTCAAGTCCAAAAACATTTTGCCTTAATTGTTATATCAAGATATAGTTCAACAATCTCCCCTTTTTGATATAACAAAACATTTGAAAAATATGTTTCTTTTTAATAATTTAAAATAGCAAAAATTAATTAAGCATGATTTAATGTGATATCATAATTCAAAGAGTGCACTGCTCTTTGCTTTGGCGTCTAAAGTTAAGATGTACCTTCCTGATCGTGCCAAGTGCTCTTTAACGTTCTCATTTTTTATTTTCCTTTTGAGTTAATTGCATCATAGTCCCTAAACTATAACTCTCATTTTAAATTGATTCTTAAACTTTTAAACATTCCAATATCCTAAACTATGAATTATTTTAAATTAGTCTTTAAACTTTTAAACAGACCAAATTCATCCCCAAATGATGAATCTCATTCTAAATTGGTCTCCAAACTTTTGAATCTTTTAATTTCATCCCCAAATTCATCAAAATATGTAATTAGTTTCAACCATAGTTTAACCTATTTTTTTCAAACATGTAATAATATATCTTGGCCTAACGATTTTATTAACAAGGGATGTGATTAGTATATATATATGTATAATTTGGGATGAAATTGAAATGTTTAAAAAGTTTGGGTACCAATTTAGAATGAAGATCATAGTTTGAGGTAGGGGTGTTCAATCGGTTAATTCGGTTAACCGACCGAAACTGAATTACCCAAAGTTTATTAACTGAATTTTCCCCTTTAACAGATAACTTAACCAATTTTTTTTGAAAAATTAACCAGACCGAACTAAGTTCGGTTAATTGGTCGATTAATCGAAATAATCGAAATTAGAAATAATATATAAATATTATATATTATATATTTAATTTTTTTAGTTAATTCAGTAGGTTAATTCGGTTAGTTAATTCTATTAAAACAAAAGTTTAAACACCCCTAAAACTAAATAATATATATAATATATTAAAAATTTAATAATTTCAGTTAATTAACTGATTTTGAACCGAATTAATTGATAACCGAAGTTTAAAAAAATCATTAACCGTTAACCGATTGAATCCAAAATTAACCGACCAAAATTTTGCTTTGGTCGGTTAATTCAGTTTTAACCAAATTATGAACACCCCTAGTTTGAGGATAAATATGAAATGTTCAAAAGTTTGAGGGCTAATTTAAAATGATAGTCATAGTCTAGGGATTAAATTATAATTTTTAAAAGTTCATATATCAATTTGAAATATATGTCTTAACTGAAGGACGTGTGTAGGCAATTAACTCCTTTTACTTTTAAACAACCACGACATGTTTCCTCGTCTCTCTCTTTCCCATTCCCTCCTTTGCCCTAAAAATATAAATAATTGAATTGAATAAATAAGGGCTTCTTTATTCACAATATTTTCAGGGTTTTTCTTTTTCTAAAAGTACCTACTTTTCTACTCTTCCAAGTAATCTCAGGTTCGTTCTTTACTTGTTATCGTAATTGAATTGTTTTTTTTATTATTATTTTCTTTCTGCTTTGCAAATCAGTTGTTATCATTTTTGAATTCTTCGAACCCTGGAGTTTCTATTGGGTTGCTAACAAAATAAGTAGAAGTAGAATTGGAAGCTTTGAAATATTGGGAGTTGATATCAGCTCCGTGAAGATTTTTTTGTATTAGGCACAGTTGAGATTCCTTTTTTTTTCTTCTTTTAATTTATTTGTATTAATTGTAAAATTCAATTGTTTTAAATTGAATCTTTCTGATTAGTTTCAATGAGAACATTTTTTAGTTTTTATAATTAGCCAAAAGTTTTTATAGTTGGAAAGATTTTGCCGATGTTATTGAACACTAGAAGAAATGCGTCTGAACAATCAATATAGTTAATGGACAACAGTTAGTAATTAGATAAGGTATTTTCTTATAAATTATAATATATGGAGAAAGTGAAAACTATAGCTGGAAATTTGTTTTCTACTGACCTAGTTTTTGAGAATACTAACTATATGACTAGTTCTGTGGTCTTGGTGGGATTCAGAGCACGGTATAAGTTTCTGAAATCTTGAGGAAAGGTTTTGTGATTAATGGGTTGTATTCTTTCATTGAAAGAGAAGGAAGGTGATACTAATTGTTAATTTCATTTCTGGGAAAATTTTGAGTTGTTGCCCTATAAAAAGTCTTGGTATATTGTGTTTGGGAAATCAATCTAGTTGGGAGTTGGGGACACCTTAAAATATTTGATGGAAGGAACGTGGAAATTTTGCGGTTTTGCCTACTTAGGTATTGTGGTGGTTAGGACTGGAATTTAGGTTTGTTTCTGTTTTAGGAATAAGGTTACAGTTTAGTAACTATTAGCCATTGGATTAGTTGAGATGTAGGAATTGTTGGATCGAAAGGTCTGGCTAGTGGGAATTGATATGGAAATAGGCAACAATTAGGTTTGAAAGTCGCAAGAGATGTAATGTGATTATTTTGCTAGAAGGGAAGTTGCTCAATATTAACGCTGTAGCAAGAGCAAAAAAGATTAGATAGGGAGGGAAAGCATAATCACAAAGAGGATGCATTTAATCCGACCAGTTGTCTATTTCATATCATTCATGATGAATTTCAAGTTCTATAAGTTGTTACATGTAATGTTAAAGCATGGTAAACTGTAAATTAGAAAGTTCAACATGCTTTAAATGAATAACTAACATTTTTCATGGTTGATACAATGCATGAGATCATAAATTAAGGAAACAAATTCTTGAAATGCTAGAATTGCATTCAGGGTTATCAGTGGAGTAATTCACTCTCTTGCCTTCCTGATGACTGCTAAGAAAAAGTTGGATGCTTGTTTAATGCTTGAGACATGGGTTCTGAATAGAATTTAACGGTTGACTAGAAGCCTTTAGCGAACTTCATCATTTGGGATTTTAGGGCTCCTTGATATTTCTTTGGCATAGGGAGTTAATAGCTATTTTTGCTTGTTCTTCTGAATGATATTTGTATTTAATTGATATATAAATGTTGGAGAAAGGTTAATTATAACTTGAATCATATGTGAAATAACTTGTCCTTGTATTTCTGGTCAAGATGCGAATTATTCCTCTTGCATCATTGTTTCCATGAAATATAAGTGCTTTTTTTTTCTTGTTTGACCTCAAGTATTTTTGAAGAATGTTTTTTCCATTTTAGTATGCTTTTTCTCTGTTACTTTTTGCTCCCTTTTTAAATCTGCATCACTGAAGGGGTTTCTCTACAGGCTATGTAAAGCTCATTAAGCAGCAAGATGAGCAATGAAGCTTTTGATGGGCAGATACTGACTGAGAAACTGACAAAACTAAACAATTCGCAACAAAGCATTGAATGTATCCTACAGCTTCAAGCTTAATTAGAAGTTTTTATTTTATTTTATTATTATTATTATTATTATTATTATTAAGAAAAATAGTAATGCTGGAATAGTCTCTCACTTCCTAAGTGCTATATGATTACAGGGACACATCTGATTACTGAAATCTGGTGTAATTCTAAAGTTCATATTTGAATTTTGAAGAACAAGTATCTTTTGTTTATTTTATTCCTTTAGTTAAGTGTATCTCTCTTCATATAAACCAGCGTTAATGTATGTGACTAGGCATTGCACCTTATCACTTGCAACAAAAGCTCTTTAAAACCTTTTGTAGACAAGATCCATTTGATCAAGTGCATGTTTTTTTTGTTTAGACATGTTTTTGTAAGGCGGTAGGCGCAAAATGTAACAGCCTGACTTAAATTCTCTTAATCCTTATTTGTACGTTTACTAATAAAAGCGGGATATCAAACATTGTTTCTCAATATTTGATTATTCAGCAACAAACATGTGATAGTAAGAAAGTTATGCATATTGACTAACAAAAGAAAAAGGTACGTTTTGCATGTTTTGTATTATAAGGCGAATCACCCTTTAGATTTTATCATAATTTTTCATCTTAAGCTTATTTTTTTATATATGCAACATTTATACAAAAATATACACGAATACATATTGCACTGTAATTCACTCAAGCTAGTCTCTCTCTGCCTTTTTTTTTCTCTTCTTCGCATTGGGCTTCAAGCAATATAAAAGTTCTAGGACCTGGACTCCTACTGTGCATCTTGCACCCTTGACAACAGTGATATAAATATGGAACTTTACTTGTAAATTTTATCGAGAATATACCATGCATCTTTTTCCATTATGATGTATTTTGTGTGTATTTAATCTAATGTGATGCTTTTAGATCTATCAAGTATGGTATCAGGTATCCCTTAATTTTTGCTAAATGTTTCTGTTATCTTACTCTCTAGTCTTGCTGTGCATGAATTCTTTATGACATGACTGCACGGACTGTTCTTTTTTATATTAGGATTGTTTGTAGTTTCTTTAGTTTTAGTTCATAAGACATTTTTTTATCGGTTTTGCTTTTGGGACATTGTTTTTGCATCTTGTTTATCCATTTTGTTTTTGGTTCAAGAGAACTTTGATTTGAATTATGCTGTTTTATGTTGCTTATGTCAGTTTCTTTTAGGATGAGGAGTATTACTCTAATATACATGTTTCATATAAATGTAAATGAGAATCAGTAATTATCTGCAAATACTAATTTTGTTTGAGATATGTGATCTACCATTGTGCCTACAAGCCTTAGATCAATGCTTTTAGGAATTCTTGGTGATTCTGATGTTATTGCCTGTTTGTTTTGCGAGGGGCCTGTTATTGACATCATCATTAGTTTTTAAATTAATTTGAGTCTGGTCTTTTGTTTTGTCTTCAATTGGAAGTCATGTAACTAGATTTTCTGCAAAGATAGCAAAATGTTGTTATATATGGTAATTTAATCCTTTTAAGCTGGTCAATTCCTCAAAACATTTCCACAAGCTACTTTTAATTCATAGGTACACATCCTCAAAACATTTCCACAAGATACTTTTAATTCATAGGTACACAATATGATTATTTATGATTCCTTGTTTGGTCTAGAATAAAAAGCTATTGGCACGACGGAAGTCTCTCAGCATAATTTCTCACTTAGTCGATAATCTCTAGTAAGAAAGAATGGTTATTGGATGAATTGGAAAATTTCCACAAAAATGTAGCATTTTCACTTAATTGAAAACCTCCTGTATTTCTTATATGCTACTACTTATTGTTTTTAGCATGCATTTCCTTCACATTTCTTCAGCATTGTCTCGTTGGTGTATTACTCACCGGAAGAAGGCAAAACAGATTGTTGAAACATGGGACAAATTGTTTAACTCTTCCCAGAAAGAACAACGCGTTTCTTTTCTGTATTTAGCTAATGACATTTTGCAAAATAGTAGGCGAAAGGGAAGTGAGTTTGTAAATGAATTCTGGAAAGTTCTTCCTGCTGCTCTCAAACATGTGTACGAAGAGGGTGAAGAGTATGGAAAGAAAGCTGTAACCAGACTGGTAAGATTTTCATTCAATTTTGAGCACTTTTCTTTCTGTAGCTTTATCAAATGGGTCAGCTACTTCAGGTTTTGAGTTCTGGTCTGGTGCTGTGATAACATTTTCTTTTCTAATGGATGCCCTCTGTCACATTTCCAGGAAGTTAATGGCTTGAATGCAACAAGATTGTTACTTTTGATTAAATTTGGTCCCTCATTTTGCTTTCTCTTGACATTTGATGTATTGCTGGCATCAACAGTTTTTAGTCCACTTTCATGTGGAACCAGTCGACATAATGATCAATCTGGGCTTTGTTTGTTTGTTTATTTATAATAATCTGGGTTTTATTACTTAGTGGCGTTCTTGCATTTTGTTTTCTTTTTCTTTGAAGTGGCTTTATTTGGTGGAATGGCTATTGTAATAAATTCTGGGATAGTGTAGTTAGCTGTTTGGTGATGAAATTTTTTATTATAACTTCAAATAGGCAAAAAGTTGTATTTCTAATGGTGATTAATTGCACCCAAAATAATATTAATGGTAAGATGTTTTCTTGGAAGCTCATGTAGATTATAATCTCTTTGATTTGAAGAATATGATTCTGTGGTCCTTGTGGAACTATTGTCACAATTTTGCCTAGGATCTTGGTATTACTAATTGTTGCCTGTATTAGTTACCTCTCTTCTTAAATGGCAGTAGTAACTTTCCTTGTGTAATGCGAATGAGGCCTTTTCCCATCAATCATCACATTTGTCCACTTTGAGAGTCAGGAGGATCTTTTGCAAGCAGTAGCAAAGGTCGATAATGCGATGATTGATGGGAAGAGAGTTTCAGTTAGGGAGGTGAAGTATCAGAGGTCGGCAAGAGGGAAGTTGGAAAGAGGGAAGACGGAAAGAGGGAAGAATCTGATTGGTTCAAAAGCTAAAGGGGCTAAGCAGAGGACTGAGACCCAAACAAAGAGCCTTGAAGGTAAAGGTACGGTGTTTAAAAAGTTTCATGATGGGAGCTTTTATCGTGATAAGCTGGTGGGAAATAAGAAGTTACCAGTAGGGACTCTCAATAGCTTGACGAGTGGCAGAGTTGCTTTGAAGAATCCCTACTATGTCTTCATCCCTGTGGAGGAGCGATGTTGGTTAAAGAGGTCGCTGACTGTCATTCATAAACAATCGTATAATGTGGAACTAATTCAGAAAGCTCTACACAGTGATGGTATAAACGCAAAAGTGGCGAGCTGGGGGTATGCTAGGAACTTATGTTTAGTCACTTTCCTATCGGAAGAAGAGAAATGAAAGCTTTGAAAGAAAAAGCTCTGGAGTTAAATTTCTGATTCGATTGGTTGAGGTCAGTTTCCTCAGATGGGGGTGTTCCTTTGGCGTTTTGCGAAGTGTCGTTAATTGAGTACCCCTAAATTGTTGGAATGAAACCTTTTTCTCCAGTATGGCTTCAAGGTGGGGGGAATTAGTGGAGATCAAGAAGGAAACACTGCTGAAGTTGGATTGCAGAGTAGCTCAGATGGTTTTTAGGGCGGCTAGTCCTTTTGATTTTCCGGAATCGATATCCATCAACACTAATGGTAGGTTGTATGTGATAAAGATTAAAGTATAGATATCAAATGATGCTTTTCCTGAGATATTGAATGGAGAGAGTGATGGAGAGCCTTCAGATGAATACGGATCATCGGAGAACCGTTCTGATGATGGAGGGGCCTTGAGGGATTGGGAAATCCAATAGGCAGGAGCGTTGTCTCTGGAGAGAGGAGACACGGATTCAAGAGATTTCAACATGTGGCATGGAGGCTTTCGTTCCTGGAGTTAATGGTGCAACTGATACAAGGCTAATTAATTTGGTGGGGATTGATGAAGAGAGGCAGGTTAATTGTGCAGTTCCTATACCGCAAATTCTATTGGGGATAAATGAAGTGGATTATGGGTTGGCAAGGGGAATTAATAGCGGTCAGATAGGCCCAATTCTGGTAGGGAGAATGTGGAGAATATGCGGGCTGATCCAAGAACAAGCAAAGGTGGACATTTTCAACGTGGGTCTCATAGGAGATCCAGTTCTTTGGATTCTCTAAGTAGTAATGGTAATCATATGAGGGGTTCAGGCGGTTCTCGAAACAATAATATTAGATTGGGCGAAGATTCAATTTCTCCTTGTTCTCAGAGAAGGGATCTTTCTCCAAATCGTGGTCACACTGTTGAAAATTAAAGAACAAGTTGGGCTGCTAAGTAGCAGCCGGCTGCTAAAACAAATTGGGGAGGGGGGCTGCCCAAAATATTTTTATTTTTAATTACAATATTAGTCCCTAAGTTTTAACTATAAATACCCTAGCTCATTTAGCTTCAAAATCATCCCAAAATCTTCCAGTTCTCTCTCAAGTGTGTTTTGTAAACACTTGTAATTTTTCTCTTCAGTAAAAGATCTGCAGCAGTCCGGAGACGTAAGCACAATTGGCTGAACTCTGTTATCAATTTTTCGGGTATTATTTTCCGCTTTTATTTCGTATTCTCACTAATCTGGCTATAGGGAAATTACTTGTTCTCGTTATATTTCCTAACAACTGGTATCAGAGCTTTTGGTTGTGAATTTTGTCAATTTTTCTGCGGGGTTACTATTCACGTGAATAGTGAATTTCGTGAACAGTGAAATTTTGTCGGCGATACGAATTTGTCGACGGAGGTGTTCAAATACACGGCGGTTCGCAGAAATTGTCAAAAACGATTCAAAGAAACCAGATTCGAGTGGGAGCGATGGCTGCAGACGAAGGGAAGGTGAAAATTGAAAAGTTCGATGGTGCGGACTTTGGCTTTTGGAAGATGCAGATCGAAGATTTTCTGTACCAGAAAAATCTATATCAACCCCTCTCAGGAAAGCAACCAGAGGGCATGAAGGATGAAGATTGGGCTCTTCTCGACAGACAAGCCCTCGGAGTTATCCGACTGACGTTATCCCGCAATGTTGCTTTCAACATAGCAAAGGAAAAGACCACGACGGGTCTTATGGCGGCTCTCTCCAGTATGTATGAGAAGCCATCGGCCTCAAACAAAGTTCATTTGATGAGGCGATTATTTAATTTGCAGATGACGGAAGGGGCATCGATGGCACAACACCTAAATGAACTCAACACAATCACAACCCAGTTGAGTTCAGTGGAAATTGAATTCGATGATGAAGTTCGAGCTTTAATTCTCTTATCATCTTTACCAGACAGTTGGAATGCTACTGTTACAGCAGTCAGCAGTTCGTCGGGAAACAGCAAATTAAAATTCGACGATGTTCGGGATCTGGTACTGAGCGAAGAAATTCGACGGAGAGAATCGGGTGAAGCATCAACCTCCTCAGCCTTGCACACGGAGTCCAGAGGGAGAACTTCAGAAAGGAATTCAAATCGTGGCAGATCGAAATCCAGAAGGGGAAAATCAAGAACAGGAAATAAAGATTTTACCTGTTATAATTGCGGCAAGAAGGGTCACTTTAAAAGAGACTGTCGAGCACTGAAGAAAGATACCAGCACACAAGGATCTGCCAACATGACAGAGGAGACAGGTGATGCCATGATTCTAAGCGTCAACAGTCCGATTGAATCATGGATCTTGGATTCAGGGGCATCTTTCCACTCCACGTCATGCCAAGAAATCATGGAGAACTATGTCAGTGGTGATTTTGGGAAGGTTCATCTTGTTGATGATGAAACCTTGAAGATCGTCGGAAAAAGAAACATCCGACTAAAGGTGCCAAACCAGACCACCTGGAAGCTGACAGGAGTGAGACATATTCCTGGTCTCAAAAGAAATTTGATTTCTGTAGGACAGCTTGATGGAGAAGGATACAGTACAACCTTTTCAGGCTGTGAATGGAAGATTACCAAAGGAGCACTCGTCATTGCTCGTGGTAAGAAGACTAGTACTCTCTATGTAACCTCAAATTTAGAGAATATCATTGCAGTAGCAGATGCTGATGGAAAATCAAACCTATGGCACCAAAGGCTTGGCCATATGAGCGAGAAAGGAATGAAGATACTTCTGTCAAAAGGGAAGTTGCCGGATCTAAAGAATGTAGATGTCGGACTATGCGAGGATTGCATCTTTGGCAAACAAAAGAAAGTCAGTTTTGCAAAGATTGGCAAGACACCCAAGGCAGAAAGGTTAGAATTGGTTCATACTGATGTATGGGGACCATCCCCAGTTCCATCTCTTGCAGGCTCACTATATTATGTCACCTTCATTGATGATTCAACAAGGAAGGTGTGGGTTTATTTTCTGAAGAAGAAATCAGAAGTCTTCGATATCTTCAGAAAATGGAAGGCCATGGTGGAAAATGAGACTGGTTTGAAAGTCAAGCGGTTGAGGTCTGACAATGGAGGAGAGTACAGAGACAGTAGATTCAGAGATTTCTGCGCAAACAATGGGATCAAGATGGAGACAACAGTTCCCAAGACACCGCAACATAATGGTGTAGCAGAGCGCATGAACAGAACTCTGAATGAACGTGCCAGAAGTATGAGGATACATGCCGGCTTGCCCAAATTTCTATGGGCTGAAGCAATCAACACTGCAGCTTACTTGATCAACCGTGGGCCCTCAGTTCCTTTGGATGGCAGAATACCAGAGGAAGTTTGGAGCAAGAAAGAAATAAACCTTTCACACTTAAGAGTGTTTGGTTGTATTTCTTATGTACACATAGACTCTGCTGAAAGAAGTAAGCTTGATGCTAAGTCCAACAAATGTGCCTTTGTTGGTTATGGCGGTGATGAGTTCGGTTACCGGTTTTGGGACTACGAAAATCGAAAGATCATCAGAAGCAGAGACATCATTTTCAATGAAAATGTGATGTACAAAGACAGGTCAACCGCAGAATCAAGTAATACCGAGGCTGAAACAAAGGAATTTGCTGAGTTCGAGGAGATTTCTGGAAATGATGTTTAGATCAGTCCTGAAGCAATTCAAGAGGAAGAACCAGGCACACCAGAACTGAGACGCTCCTCCAGAATTCCTAAACCAACCCAACGGTATTCACCTTCTTTA